CCTTCCCCCATATCTGGTCAATTAGGAAAACATTCTCTCTGGATAGATTCACTGCCGACCTGGAAAACATGACATTGTCAATTACATATTTAATTCAAGCTGCAGTAATGAGCAATTTGGATAATACCAATGTCCTTTTCAAAACCTAATTAGCCTGCATAATTTCATAGTTCAATAATGAGTGTCCCTTCACTGGCCACAAGGCACTTTTGTTTTCTTTGTGTTTTACTCAAAAAGATCCCCGATGCCAATTAGGGCTCTTGGAAAAGGGCAGCATTTTTGCCCTTCTATCTTTAAAAAATAATTAAAAATGGCCTTTTCTGAGCAGTCACTTTGAGCCAGGCTAAGTGTTTATCTGAATTATCTCAGTTAATACTTCCAAGAAATCTGAGGCCTAATTATATCTAAACTAGAGGACTGGTGCATGAATTCGTGCATAGGTGGGGTCCGGCCAGCCTGGGGGGGGGGCGGGGACGAGGAAGGTTGGCTGGCCGGCCTTGCCCCCAGTTGGGGTGGGGGAGTCGATCAGAAGCGGAGCCAGCCAGGGGGAGGGGTTGAGGGCGGTTGGTGGGCTGGCCCATGCCCCCTAGTTGAACTCCCGGTCGAGGGGAAAATTTGCATATTAGCCTTTTATTATATAGGATACTATTATAATTCCTGCTAGAAAAGGGAAAAAGTTGGGCTTTAAAGGGTAGGAAATTCTCCAAAGATTATACAGCTAGAGAGAATCAAGCAGTCTAACTCAAGAGCTGGTGTTATTTTTTTAAATATATTTTTTATTGATTCCAGAGAAAGGAAGGGAGAGGGAGAGAGATAAAAACATCAATGATGAGAGAGAATCATCGATCAGCTGCCTCCTGCACACCCACTACTGGGGATCGAGCCCACAACCCGGGCATGTGCCCTGACTGCGAATGGAACCGTTACCTCCTGGTTCATAGGTTGACGCTCAACCACTGAGCCACGCCTGCCAGGCAAGAGCTTGTGTTCTGGACCAGCGGGAGCTCTTCCCACCTGAACGTGCCTCTTCTCGTAGAAAAATGGAGGCCTGAGGAAAGTCATCCGTCGCTTAAGGAACCACCACTTTCAACCCGCTGCGCTGTTCAGAAGTTTCAGACGGGCAGTATCCTGGCTGCCATGGTGTCCCACTTCATTCCAGGAACGTGGCCGTAACTTCTAGAGCCCATGAAACATCTAAGAACTTTCTAAGCCTAGGATCCCCCCAAAAGGGAGCCCGAAGCAAAGGGTATGTAATGACACATTTTGGGGGGTGCAATCCCAGGTTCAGAAGGAGGGAGGGGAAATAGGCAGGGAGGCAGGGAGGAAAGGAAGCGTGGTATGCTTACTGAGCAGGCCCCAGCTTTGCCAGGGAGCACGGTCCATTCCTCAGACACACAGGACAGATTTGAATAAGCCATAAGGATGGGGAAAGGGAGATGGATTACCTACCAGATCTTTCCAGACCCTTTTCTCTTGTTGATCAAAATTCATACCACAGGACTTAACTCCCCACATGTTCAGGTTGTCTACAGACAGTTGCTGGGGGAATCAGATCCCACGCTCTATAGCAGTGATGGCGAACCTATGACATGCGTGTCAGAGGTGACACTCGAACTCATTTTTTCGTTGATTTTTCTTTGTTAAATGGCATTTAAATATAAAAATAAATATCAAAAATATAAGTCTTTGTTTCACGATGGTTGCAAATATCAAAAAATTTCTATATGTGACACGGCACCAGAGTTAAGTTAGGGTTTTTCAAAATGCTGACACGCTGAGCTCAAAAGGTTCGCTATCACTGCTCCATAGTGTGGGACTTCACTTGAGTATGGGACTGGCGGTAGAAGCCAACACCTCTGTGGTGAGTATGGTCAGGCTGGGCTTGGGCCCACTGCAGTTGGGGTCTCTGCCAAGGTGGGAACGGTGGAGGCCTCACTGAAACTCAGGTCTCACCCTGGGGGAGGCTGCGATACCAGTGGTTGAGGAGATGGGACAATGGTGGTGACGGCTGTCCTCTCCATTGAGCAACATGAGGAGGCAGGTGGAGCCAAGCGAATCTGAGAAAGTGCACGAATGGGCTCCAAAACAGTCCACCCCTTGCATTACTCAGAGTTGCTCACACCCTCCTATGATATTTGGATCTAACTTAGGAATGGCAACACCGATTGCCCCTGGTTCCTGGGGAGCAGAGCATGAAGCAATGCTTGCTTGCTAAAACTTCATTGAGGGATACAACCCTAGGGCCACAACAATAAGGGGAGAAAGGAAGTGAAGCAAGGAAGGAGGAAAGCAAACACAAAGTTGTGTGTTGCCAAGCTGGCCATCTCTTCAGAAAAAAATATTGCCAGTTGCTCACTCATGCCTATTAGATGTCTCCTGACAGGCCAAGTGGAACCCCTGCAATCCATATGCTGGGCCCCTCCCAGCTCTCGTTTTTCATTGGTCAAAATTTGCCCCAATGTTTACCTCCCTTGCATTTCTGAGTAGAGTTTCCTGGCCCCTGTAGGCAGATCCCAGGTACCATGGTGTGGGCTGCCATATGAGTCCAGAGGGGGTGAGAGGAGCCAGAGTCTCACTGGGTCCTGCGTGGCATGAGGGGACCCATGACAGAGCCTGGTGTTTACCCTAAGAAAGGCTGCGATGTTCCATGGTGTTAGGAGGGTCAGGTGACATTCAAGAGGTACGTAGATTGGGTCAAGTATGGAATACTGGAGGCCAGGATGGATAATGCAGGCTTTCCAAGGCACACCTGCCCAGGCTCTTCCAAAATATTGGACCTCTAGCTGGGGGTCAGTACTTCTGAATCTCAGGTGAGCGGCAGTCACATCCCTGACCTTGTCAAATGGGGCAATTACATTTACCTCACAGAGTTGTGAGAATTGGATTAAAATGTAAAGGACATTTTTAAGTGGCCCTGCTGGCGTGGCTCAGTTGTTGACCAGGAGGTCGGGGCTCTATTCCCAGTCAGGGCACAAGCCAGGGTTGCAGGTTTGATCCCCAGTAGGGGGCCTACAGGAGGCAGCCAATCAATGATTCTCTCATCATTGATGTTGTTATCTCTCTCTCCTTCTCCCTTCCTCTCTGAAATCAATAAAAATAAATATTTTTAAAAAGAGCATTTTTAAGTGGCAAAGAGCTGCATGAATAAGCATGAGGGGCTGGCGCCATAACTAAAGATGGAAGTTGTATACTGACCAGCTTTTCCTGCCTGGCCAGAATGGCAAGGCATTAACATACTCAGTGTTACTTTGACCTCAGCTGGCCAATAGGGCTCAATTTTGTGCCTCATTCTCCTATTTCAAACTCTTGGTGAGAGAAAGTAATCTAGGAAGCCTACACACACACCCCCCATGTTTTCTTCCCAGCTCCCCTCCCTCAAGCCTGGCCCCCTTCAGGGCAGCGACAAGACCTGATTTGTCCACTGTGGTGAACCCAGCAGCCAGTGCAATGTCTGGCCCTTGGCAGGTGCTCAGGGACACTCTGCATGAAATGAAAGAGTGAATGAGCGAGTGAATGAACAAGAATCTGCACATCTCTGCCCAACACTTGAAATATACCCCGACTCCCAGCAGGTCACCTGGTCCTGGAAACCTTTAGGGACCCTCCCTCCAATCTTCCTTCCTCTGTCCCCCTTACAGCGCAGGTGTCCCTTTCTCGCGCCACAGCGGGAGTGGAATGCCAGTGGACAGTGGAGCCGCTGGTTTTATCTGTCTCCCAGATGAGACCCCTAGTTCCTGGAGGGAAGGGACAGGGCCCATGCATGCTTGTCCCCAGCATCGCCCGGCTCAGATGAGTCTCTGCAGAGCTTAGATGGAAAAGAGTCTCAGGGCAGCCCTGCACATAAAGGCGGCCACTGGGAAATTTGTCTGAAAGCTCATGTGCAGAGCAGACAGAGTATGTTTTAAGGGGTGACTTCAGGGCCCATAGAGACTGGGCAAAGGAACAAAGAACATGTCCCTTCCATGGGTGAGCTATGGTGTCAGACAGCTCCGCTCTGTCCTGAGCCCCTGGTACCTAAACTAGGATGGTCCATGCCTTGGGAGCCCTTCCGGAGGCCAGTCCATCAGTCCAAGCGCTGGCCACGCGCTTCCACCGGAAGAGCAAGAGCGGCTTCACGTACCTGCGGTGTGGCCTGCGGGGCCAGGGGCAGCTTGTTTGAACGAAACATGCCGGGCTACTTGGCGACGACTTGTTGATAATCTTGCCTCAAACAGAGGAGTGTGAGATGGTTGAGAAAACGCAGAGATCTTCCTTCCCCGGGGCCCTAGGCAACTCCTTCCAAGACGCAGCGCTGTGGTGGGAGAGGTCTCTGAACAGGGACCACGGAAGGGAGACAGGCCCTGGGCCTGCACCCGGGGCGCGGGCACGGAGGGGGTAGGGAGGGGGGGAGGAGCAGGGGAAACTCCCGTCCCATCCGAATGGGCGGGGAGGGGAGGGAGTCCTCAAGGACGGAGCGCAAAAAGGGGTCTCCACGAATCAGTCCTCACCCGCTTCCCAACGCCTCGGAGAAACTTGGGGGAGGGCAAGCAAGGAGCAAGTGGCCCTGGAGCTGGGAGTCCTCGGCCTCGCGGGTGGATGAATAAGTGATTAAGCGCCCAGTACACAATAGCCTCGCTAGATGGAGACGAGGAATCACTGCAGCGGCGCTGGCGGCGGCGGCGGGGAGCGCGGGCGGGAGCGCAGCCCGGGCGGGAGGCGGGCGAGGCTCAACGTCTGTTTTCCTTTTTCGTGCATTATTTATTTCGCCTCCGCCGGCGGCCCTGCTGCCCCGAGCGGGCGCTCCCAGCCAGTGGCTCTCGCTGCTTCCTCTCGCGGGCAGGCAAGACGGACGCTGAGAGCTCAGCACGTCTGCACCCGAGGGCAGACGCGCCGTGCCAACGGAGGGCAGGGACCCGGGAAGGGCACTCGCGCCTGGTCCCCGGGGGCCTGGTAGGAGACTTTTCCCGCCCTCGCCTCCGCTTCGGCAGCCCGCCCAGCCCTGGACTCCGAGTGCCGCCCCTCCCGCCCTACGCGCTGCCAGGCGCAGCGGGGAGCCACCCGGTGAGAGTGCGCCGCGCCCGGGACCCCAGCTCAGGGGCCCTGGAGGCCCAAGCCGCGCGCAAACTTTTGCTCCGGGATCCGGCGCTCTTCCCCGGCACGCGAAGCCACCAGGCGCCCGCGCAGTCGCCAGGGTGAGGACCGAGGCTCCGCCTAGAGGGCGGGGGACTGGGGAGGCGGCTGGCTTTAAATGGGGGCCGTCCGGCGGCTCCGGAACAGTCTGCCGCGGGGGGAGTGCGACCTCCCTTCGGCGCGCCGTGGATCGGCTGGGACGGCCCCCAGGCAAGGTGGCGTGAGGCCCGAGGGATGGGGCCGAAGATGGAGACCTGGGGGGAGCTCGCGCTCTGGGGTGGGAGGCGGGGCTCGGGAGAGCGCGCCTGGGTGAACGGGGTGCGCACGGAAGTGCATAGGTTGCAGTGTGCGCAGTGAGAGCCGGCGGGGCGAGGAGGGTGCGCGCAGCGTGTGTTTCCTGGTGTTGTGCGCGCAGGGGCAGCGAGTGTGCAGGCAGGGGCCGGTGGGTGTGCACGGCTGTGTCTGTGGGTGTGCACCCCGGGTGAGTGGTGCCCGCCCGGTTTGAAATGTTTCAACTGTGGGAGCGAGTTGAGGCTGGCTGTTTCGGGGGTGACGCGCGGGGCTGTGTCGTGTGCTTGGCGGTGTACGGAGGTGTGCACAGGGCCGAGGTGTGCACGCAGGGTTCTGGGCAGGTGCACGGGGGCCCAAGTATTCCCGCAGGGTTCTGGGAATGTGCGCCAGGAGAGAGTGTGAGTTCTGGGATGCCGGCTTCTGTGAGTGTGCGCGAAGGGTCTTCGAATGTGCAAACTAAAGGGCAAGCTGGGTTTACGAGGGGGCCCCAGGCTGCGGGGCGTGCCTGCCCAACCCGGACCGCTACGTGTTCGGGTGCGCGACCGCGATGGTGCCCGCGACCGCGATGGTGCCCGCGCCCGCGGCGCCCGCCTGACCCGAGCTTTGCTCCCCTGACAGTTCGCCCCGAGAGCGGGTGCCGCGGGTCGAGATGCTGCTCCGGGACCTGGTGCTGCGCCGCGGCTGCTGCTGGCCCTCACTGCTGCTGCACTGCGCGCTCCACCCGCTCTGGGGCTTCGTGCAGGTGAGCGGTGGCGCGGGTTGCCGGGCTGCACCGGTTTGGAGACCTCCTGGGTGAGACCCGGTGGGGGCGGGGTGTCACTTCGCTCTCCGACCCCAGCTTCCTGCAGCCGGCCCCCCCTGGCTGGTCCTGGGGAGAGTTTATGTAAAGAAAAGATGCTAGGGCCTCCCCATCCTCTGGCCTGGGAGAGCTAAGAAACTCCATAAGGAGGCTTCAGTTGTGGCCTAAGACCGCAGGACAGGGCCTGGGAACAGTTCTTAGTGATGACATCTGAGTGCAGAAATGCCAGGAAAGAAACCTTCGAGCTTTTGCAAACTTAAAAAGAAAAGGATCCCAAGAATATACATCTTTTATCTCCCACTGGTCAGCTTCCAATTAGCCTTAAGCTGGACTTCAACACAGGAGAGGCTGTGTTTGGCGTAGGGAGTGGAGTTGGGGATGTGGCCGGAGTGTACGTGGTGTCCGCTCATGGAGAACGTAGGAAATAACTGTCCGTCTGTAAGGATCGCCTGAGGATGGAATCTTCGCCCTGGGTCCCTGGGCAGGGGCCAGGCAGCCACCAGCTGGAGTTACCTCTATTAAGATCAGAGAGAGCGTTCGATGGGATGGTCCCTAGAACCTCCCAGAACGTACTCTGTTAGTGGTACAGTGGAGTGGTGAAGAGGTGGGCTTTGCTGTCCGCTCTGAATTTTGAGGCCCAGCCCTGCCCCGTACCAGCTGGGCAACTTTAGGCCGTGCACCTAACCTCTCTGCTCTGCGGTTTCTCCTTCCTGACTGTGCTACCACAAGTGCTTGATGAGATAAAACACAGAAAGATTACGTAGCACAGTGCCCAGACCATGACAAACACCCATTGTAGCTGCTGCGGCCATTATTGATATTAATGACGGTGATGCTGCTCTTTCACCTGGATGGCCGGGTGCTCTTGATCACTTCATAGTCTGTTCCACCTTTTTGAGTTGTTAGTGGTTCAGCAGGTGCTGGAGGACATTTTTACTGTTTTGGGCATTTAAATGCCCCACTCTGGGTATTTGCAGCTTCACTTCCGGTGGCATTTGGGGGTTGGGGGTTATTCGGATGGTTATCTGAGTAAGGGGGTGACAGTCCACAGAGGAAGGGGTGGGCGAGACTGCTTGCCAGTCTGCCATGGTCCATGAGCTGTGCCAAGTGATGGGGCCCTGCTGGGAACCGGCTCAGTCAGTCCTGCGTGGATGGTGGCTGAGTGAGCACTGGGAGAGAACCAGGGCCTCTGAAGCTGGGCCCGGCTTGCTGGCTGAGTGGGCGGGTCGACCAGGATCCACCACCCACCCCAGCGCCAGGCCTGCCTTCTGCTCTGTCTCTGGCTTGCCTCTGCCTCACTCACCATTGTTTTCCTTTCGGAATTGACAGCTTTGTTTAATGTGTGAAACTGCAGTTATTAAACTCAGCTCTGCCTCCTCAGGATGCAGGGTTTTGTCACTTTGAAACACTCAGGTGGTTGGGGACCAGCTTTCCCTGTTCAGCTTTTAGTTGGACCTCAGGCATGAAGTTCACTTTGCTTTTACATTTGTTTGCTTACCGTCTTCCATAAGACTTTTCAGCCAGTTGGAGAGCCACACAATGATGTTGTCTGTCTCTGAGACTAGAATTCTGCTGGGTACAAACAGGAGATCCCCATCTCCACCACCAACTCCCCCCCAACTCCCCACCACCTCCCTATCACCCCGCCACCACTACCACCATAAGAAATCATTTTGTGAAAACAGCCTGGTTTTTTAACAGTGTCCTTCAGCCAGACAGTCCTTACACAAGCGTGTGTGTGTGTGTGTGTGTGTGTGTGTGTGTTTCAGATGCTGTTACTCAATACAAATCAATTTTTTGTGCAAATCAATTAGAAAAGGAATCCTCTAGACAAGTAGCGTGGATAAAATCTTGGCTGGAAGCTCTGGGAAAATTAATCTACAAACGATAAGGACTGAAAAGCGAAGGGAAAAGGGCTTTGGAATGGATGGGTCTGTTTTTTAAGCAAAAGAGCTGAATCCGGAGGAACAGAAGGGAGAGGAGGAAAAACGGAAGTGCATGAAGCCATGTATGTCCCTTTAAGTGGAGAGACTGAAATCTGTCTCATCCTAGGAGTTTCTCGGAGGTAGAGAGAGAACTCCGCTCTGCTCTCATAAGCATTTTGCCAGAAGACTCCCCCAAAGTTGTGAGCATTTGGACAGTGAGACCGACCTCACACAGTCCTCTAATTAATGGGATAAATGGTGAAGCGAGAGACCTGTGTTCCCCAAAGCACCAGGCTCCTGCCTTGAAGTCAGCCCGAAGCCTCTGCCTAGATGATCAGAAACTTAATCGTTGAAGTCAGATGACATTTAAAGTGCCGCAAGGTTGGTGTGGGGGCATCCGCGAGCCTCCCCCTTTTCTCCTTAATGTGTCTGGAACTGAGCTTTTGAGCTTTTGTGATTTAGGGTTCTTCTGAGTTCACTTCCAGATGATTCCTTTTTTTTGCAAGCGAAGAGGATGACAGGCTGGCAAATTTATTAGGTGTGACAGGAATGTGTCTCATCAAGTTACCGCGGTGCTGGCCTGTCACCATAAAAGATGCCAGAAGCCATCGTCTTTGTGGGTGTCTTCCTAAAGCCATCCTCAGGGAGACAGGCTCGGATTCGAGCCCACGGGTCTCCCAGGGCTGACCCAGTGCCACCCTCAGGCCCAAGCAATGCTGACCTCCCCCTATGGCAGTCACTACAGCTTCACTTATGTATTCAGCAGCATTTACTGAGCACCTACTGTTTGCCAGGCCCTATGCCAAGTGCAAGAGACCTCATGGTCCCAGTCCTCATGGCATCAACAGCCTGGCACTGGAGTGGTAATTAAACAAGTAATTAGAGGCAAGATAGCGTAACGGGAGCAAAACGCTCAGGGATGGGATCTGGTGGAAGGGACCCATGTAGTGCTCAGCGGAGACATACACGAGGAGGAGTCAGAGTCGGGGGCAAGCGTGGACGGGGTGTGCAGGCGGAGGCAACAGTCCCCAAGGCCCGAGGAGAGAGGGTGAGGCCACTGCTTTGAGCTACTAACATCGTATCTTGCAGTTTGGACTTGATCCTGGGGGCTTCGGGGATTCTCAAGATTTTAAGCAAGAGACGGCAATCTCAGATTGGCATTTCAGAGTCTCCGTCCAGCTCCAGCAGGGAGGGTGGATTCGAAAAGGGGGTCAAGGCAAGGGTCAAAGAGGCTGGTGGGGGTAGTGCTGCCAGATTGAGCAATAAAAACACAGGGCATCCAGTTAAATTTGGATTTCAAGTAAACCACAAATTGTTCTTCAGCATAAGTGTACCCCATATGATATTTGAGACATACTTATACTAAAAAAATTGGTGTTTGTTTATCTAAAATTTAACAGGGTGTCCTGTATTTTACATAGCAACTTTCCGTGAGAGGCCGTGGCTGCCCAGCGGAGAGATGATGGTGTCCTGGTTAGGGTGATAAGGGGGAGAGGTGGATGGATTCAATGACTATTTAGGAGGCAGTATCCCCTGGACCAAAAAGCTGTATTGATTGGCCAGGAGTGGGGACTGGCAGCTATGGAGCACCTTGTCCCCCAGTCCCCAGTGACAGGTGCCACAGTGGCTGCAGGACCTCCCTGTGCCTCAGGACTCTGGCCCCAGGAGAACAGTGCCGAGCAGGGGAGGGAAGGCAGGTGATGGCAAAAGTGGAATAAACACTTGTCCTAGGAAGCAATGATGCCAGCTTTCGCTCTGGGGGCTTTAGGCAAGTCATTGACCTCTCTGGGCCTCTGCTCCTTCTTGGTCAAGTCCAGCTACGAGTAGGTGACTTCAAGGGCAAGTTTCTTCTCCTTGTGGGACTCCCTAAGGTGTAAACCAGTGATGGCGAACCTTTTGAGCTCGGCGAGTCAGCATTTTGAAAAACCCTAACTTAACTCTGGTGCTGTGTCACATATAGAAATTTTTTGATATTTGCAACCATAGTAAAACAAAGATTTATATTTTTGATATTTATTTTATATATTTAAATGCCATTTAACAAAGAAAAATCAACCAAAAAAATGAGTTCACGTGTCACCTCTGACACGTGTGTCATAGGTTCGCCATCACTGGTGTAAACCAACCAAGCCAGGTATTGAGACACGCTCCCAGCACTGAGGAGCTTGTCTAAATGCCACACCACCAAACCACAGAACCCAAGTGCACCCAGATTGGGGGGCGGGGTAGATCCCGTGTTTCTACACTGGTGGGCGGATCATCTCCCAACACATCTTTTCACTGAGCACCAACCGAATGCCAGGCCCTGTGCCACTCCAGTCAGTTACTCACTCACTGATCCTGCCGTCCCACCCACTAAGAGGGGATGGTAGCACCTCCCTCTCCCAGTTATCCTCGTGGTGAAATGACAACTGTCTCCCGTGGCTGACACACAGTAGGGCTCAGGAAGTCACACCTGATCAGGATTAATAAAGCACAGACTCATTTACCTGCCAGCTTTAGCAGAGGGAGGTATGGGGGGCATTATAAAGCAGTGGGATGATGCCCCCAAAGAGAAGGGCTTACAAGGGAAGAAGCATCCCCGGGCAGGTGGGTCTAATCTGGGGGGTCCTGGGGTTGGGGTGGCTTACCCGAGAAGGCTGTGCTGGAACTGGGTTTCAAGGATGAATAGAAGTTGGCAGGTAGATAAAGGGTTTGAGTAGCCAATTGTCCGTGGCAAGAGGCTCAGTGGCCACTGGTTTGCACTGGACCAAACTCCAGTGAGGCGCCCAAGCAGGGCCCACCCTCAGGGAGAGGGCCCGCCAGCCCAGCCTGGATGCCCTGCCGGCCCCTTCCCAGTGGGGCCATTGTCCGAGACACCACAGCTTCCTAAAAGGCCTCCTCCCCCTTCACCCTGGAAACTTGGCCCTGCTTTCCCTGCCTATAATTTCATCGCATTAAACGCTTGCACATCTGTGCCCTTATGTCCTCTCCCAAAAGTAGGTCATTGTGTTGGGCCAGGTTAAACAAACGTGCTGCTCTTGAACTCTGTCGCGTAAATTGCACTTTGGAGAGTGGGAAAGTAATTGCTTTGGCAATGGCATCCGTTGCTTGAAGTTCACACACTTGGTAGAGGCTCTCGAGCAACCCCCGTAGTCCTAGAAGGTGGGATCCAGAGGACAGGCTCAGGGGCGATGGGAGAGCTGGGCTGCCCTGGTGGGAAAGCAGGGCGGGGGCGGGGGGGGGGCGTGTAAGAGTTCATCATCCCCGTAAAATAACTGAGAAGAGGCTCACCCTCCAGGACATGCGCTTCCCAGTGGGAGACATTGCCTTCCAGAGTCTGAACCGCAGTGGATCCTTAAAAACGCTAAAAGGTGGTGAGCAGGAGCGGCCTGGCCTCGCAGGTGTTGTCTGGGCTGTAAATCAGCTCACCTCCTGCTGTCACCCAGCCTGTTCACCTCTGCCAAAGCCAAGAGCATCCCAGCCCTGCGGACCCTCTCCGCTGGGCCTGGGACACGGCAGCGAAGTGTCTGCACCGGCCTAAGGGCTGGTCGAAGGGAAATTGGGGTTCTAGGTTTCTGCTCAAGATGACAGCCAGAGAAATTAACCTTGAGCATTATTGGTGTGGTGGGGGGGGAAGGGGGCGGGGGCGGAGGCGGAGGCGGGTGACCACCTCCTTTTTCCTTCATGCCTTTAAGTCCGCTTGTTCCCTGGGACGGGCCTCGGGGGTTCATGCCCCCTGCAGCAGGGAGGGACGCTGGCAGTTAGAAGTTTAACCTGGGGAGCTAAACAAAATACGCGTGCCTGGCTGCACCTGCAGCAACTCTGCTGTAACTGGCCGTGGGTAAGGCTCAGATGGGAGTGTTTTTAAAACTGCCTGGAGGTTCTGATGGGCAGTCGGGGTTGGGAGCCGCTGGCGGAGCACAACCCACTCCCGCCACTCTTCCTCGTGTACCGGGAGGAAACTGACACTGACATCAAAAAACACCCGACCAGGATTCAAGAGGGCTGGATTCTGGTCCTGTGTTTAATATTTATTCAGTCATTCATTTGTTCATTCATTCATTCATTCACCAAGTATTTATTAAATGGCCGGCATTCTTTAGCCAGGTTATGATAGTGAGAGACGAGACCCGGCCCCCGCTCCATAGATCTCTAGTCCGACGGTGTAGACAGACAAGAACCAGGGAATCCCCCACATTTCTGCCCCCCAGAGTGGAACCTGGGCCAGAAGCGCCTATTAAAAGGAGATCTGACCTGGTGAGGGAGGTCTGAGGCCCTTCCCTGAGGAGGTGCTAGCCACGCTGAGGAACAGGCGAGCGGGGGAAAGGGGTGGGAGAACCTTCTGGGCCACTGGAGCAGCATGTGAAAAGGGAGGGGGGTGGCCAGGGCCCGGATTGGAAGAAGGGCACTGAGGGCAGAGCTGAGGGTGAGAGCACAGGGTGAGGCAGAACCCTGTGGCCCTGATCCCCTTTGCTGTGGGCAGGCATTTAGCAGGAGGGGGGGGGGGGGTTGAGAGATGTAAGTGGCCTGGGCAGGTATGTTTCACGCAAGAACCCTTGGGCCCCCCTTGGTCACGTGGGCCACCAGAGCAGACGCCTGGCTGAGGAAGGTTCCTCCCCCGAGACGGAGGGCCTTGGCCATCGGCAAGGCTGTCAGGGGCTGTGGCCGGAGAGAAAGTGACGGCCTGTCCTTGTTCCGTTGCAAGAAAGCCTGGAGAAGTGGCTGGGTCGGCTTACTGAGGGCGGGGAATCGGTATCCTGTCGTCATCCGGTGAGAGGGCCTTGGGCAGCCACTGCTCCTGAGCCACAGGTCCCTCATCTGTCTGGTGGGGAGTTCTAGGAGCTGACCTTCAAGGTCTTATCCACCTCTTAATCAGATTGAGGCCACCTGTGACGGCCCCATCGCTGGTCCCTGGCAGAGCTGCAAATAAAACCTTAGTCTCCAAAGCCGCCAAGCCAGCCTCCCACTTATTCTCTCTGAGCCAACCCCACTTCTGCCTATTCTTCCTGCCCTGGCCTCTGGGAAGAACCCCGAGTTCCAGCCTGGCGGGCAGTGGGTGGGGTGGGCCCAGTTCGGCTCCCAGTGGCCTCATTGTCTTCTCTCGGGCACATGTGCCCATTTCTGCAGGTGACACAGGGCGAGCCCCAGAAGTCCTGCTCCAAGGTGACTGACAGCTGTCAACACATCTGCCAGTGCCGGCCCCCTCCCCCGCTGCCCCCGCCACCCCCACCCCCACCGCCTCCCAGACTCCTCTCCGCCCCAGGTAAGTAGAGGCTGGCGTGTCTCCGGTTCCTCCGTGTGTTTTCCGGGCCCAGGGAGAACCTGCGCGCATGGCAGAGGGCAGCCGTGCCTCCTTGGTAATTTTCCACTGGCCGAGCAGGAGGGAAGCCAAGGCCCAACTTCTCCCTGCAGTCTGCAAAACGCCGTCCCCACAGAACGTCCTGCGATGGAGAAGGATTTCTCCATCAGCTAATCAGATAGAAGTCCGTCTCCATTTGATGAGTGACTCGGCCTGGCAGGCCCAGGGCACTGGTCTTGTATATCCCACCCACACACACGGTTTCCTTTTTAATTCTCGTTTAAGGAGGCAGTTAGTGTAGAACTGAAGTGAAGGCTCTGGGAGCACAGTGACCTGGATGCCTTTCAGCCACTGGCAGTGAACTCTGCTACCCCCTCCCCCCCCTCGTTTGCTTTGATTTCATCTATGAACAATTTGACTTCCTGGTCATTCAAACAAAGGAGGGTTTCTTTACTCAGAAAGGGCCTCCGTCCTGACCTCTGGGGGTTAAGTTCCCTGCCTACAGTCGCCCGTGGACAAGGTCTCTGACGAGAGAGTCTATATTCTGGATTGATCGCTCCCGTCGGCTCTAGAATGCCTGCGATCCTGTGTGGATCTCTTCCGGTAAATGCCTCTCTGAGTTACTGGGACATATTTTAAATAATCCTGGTGGCGCTTTGCTTTCTGGTCGGCTGTTCTCGGGGTCCAGGCAGTGATGCAATGTTCTGGAGGCTCTTTGCAGTCACGGGCCTTTCTGTGTTTTGTCTGCTGGGCCCCTACCTGTCTCCATGCTTCCCTGACACCATGGCCAGTGCTTCCCTGAGTGGGGTCCTCAACCTCGCCTGAGGCATTTATTTTAAGTGCAGCTCATGGTTCTAGCCGGGTTGTTCAGTGGTTAGAGTGTCGGCCCACGGACTGAAGGGTTGCAGGCTTGATCCCTGGCCCCGGTCAGGGCGTGCGGGAGGCAGCCAATCGATGTGTCTCTTTCATATCAATGTTTCTCTCTCTGAGTCTCTCCTCCTCCCTTCCACTCTCTCTAAGAATCAATGGGGGAAACAAAAAAAAGTGAAGCTTCAGGGACCCACTTCATCCCCACCAACTCAGAGTCATTGGGGTGGGGCTTAAGGAAGTAGCATTATAACAAGTGCCAGGTGGTTTGGAGCCTCTGCAGGATTCTCCCACCCCAGGACGCTCACTCCTCTTCTCACCTGAAGGAATCCCTGATCTGTCTCATGGGGCCCAGACTCAGGCACCTGGCCTTGCAGATCACTCTGCCCCCTCCCTGTAGAATTCCCCTCCTCCCACTGCTGGGGCTCCAGGCCTGTGCTGTCTGCGGGGGTGCTTGTGTCTGATGGACCCACAGCCCCAGTTCGAGGCCCTTCCATTCATCTCACTGAAATTCTGTGCCAGACACAGTGAGAGACCAAGCCGGTCTTCTGGGCTCTCTCAGCTCAAGGGAAGGCCCCCTGTCAGCCGCCTACAACGGGTGGCCCGAGTGAGCACAGCGGTAGCTCTCCGGGTGCACCGGGAACCCTTGAGCCGTTGGCCACAGTAAACAGTGACACTGACCTGGGTCTTGAAGAATGAATGGGATTGCTCTGGGTCGAGAAGGAGGTTGCGGGGAAAGGGCATCGGGCAGAAGGAACAGCATGGGCAAAGGCTGAGCTGTGACTGAGCGTCACAGCCCTTCAGTAGGTTTAAAGGACTGGTCAAGGGGCGGACTGTATTAGTATATATGGCTGATTTCATCCTGTGAATCCTTGTTTGCCAAATGTCATTCACCATATCCAAATACCCCCTGATAGTTGCCCTTTTTTCTTTAAATAGACTCACTTTTGTGGTTATGCAAATTAATTTTCAAAGAAAACTTGACATAACGACTGTCCTTGAAAGACCAGTATCACTTGCGTAAATGAAGGTGACCATAAAAATAAATGTAATGAGTCCCGGCTGTGGTTGGGAGCGTCATCCTGTGCACCAAAGGGTCACAGGTTCAATTCCTGGGTCCGGGCCTGTGCCTGGGTTGCGAGTTCCATCCCTGGTCGGGGTTGCATACAGGAGGCAGCCGATCGATGTTTCTCTCCCACATCGATGTTTCTCTATCTCTCTCTCCCTCTTCCTTCCTCTCTCTCTAAAATCAATTAAAAATAAATAAATAAATGTAATGAAAACAAAGCAAGTGGTAGTGAGCTGTCAGATCCACGGTAGTTCCCTGTGGAGATTCTTCTCTAGAAAGAAATCAGAAGGTTTGTAAGAGAATCAGAAGGGCCGAATTTCTTGTTCTGTGTTTCACTGGGCCCTTGGGTCCCTGTGCCATGGAAAACCAGCTCACTTAGCTCAAGGACCAGGGCCCCTCCTTTAGGAAACCGCTGTAGACTGTGATCAGCCCACAAAAGTATTAAGCAGGGAAATGACGTGATTCTGCACATCTGTTTCAGAAAGATCAACTTCTCTGAGAGCGGGGATGGGGGATGAGCTAACAGCCTGGAGGGAATCTTGAGATAATTCGGTCCCAGACCACCCATTAGGCCCTGAAGCCAGGAAGGGGCTGCAGAGAAGGGGAGGCGGGCAGGGAGTGCCTGGGAGGGGGCCGCCACCTATGTTGAGCTTTGGGCATGAGGGCACTTCTGGGTGAGGGGAGAGCACACGTAGTTTGGTCCTATGGCAGGACTTTTCTAGTAGCAAGAACCCATCTTGAAGGGACTTAAGCAATAACAAAACTAGGGAGGGAGCCCACTGGTGCGGCTCAGTGGTTGAGCGTCGACCTATGGACCAGGAGGTCACGGTTCAATTCCCGGTCAGGACACATGCCCGGGTTGCGCATTCGATCCCTAGTACGGGGTGTGCAGGAGGCGGCCGATGAGTGATTCTCTCTCATCATTGATGTTTCTATCTCTCCCCCTCTCCCTTCCTCTCTGAACTTAACAAAAACACCTTTTTAAAAAAAATGTGACACGGGCTCTTTAAGTGCTCATTGATGGAGGTTCCTTTTGCCTAAGCGAGGCGGAGGAGCCGTGCCCGCGGATGATGCCGCCGAGGAGTCACGCAGCATCACTGCTGCTGCGTTCCATTGCTCGGAATCAATGGCCGAGGCCCTCACGTTGCAGGAGCGGGAATGCAATTCCACCCCTTGAGAGAGGAGCCAGGGCATCTGTGAACATATTAAAACCACACCACCCTCCATCCACACACACACACACACACACACACACACACGCACACACACACACACACACTCACACGCACACACTGAACTTTCCTTTGCCTTCATAGCAGTCATCCCGCCCACGCAATATCTGATTAGTGACTTGACTTATGCCTGGATCCTTTGCTAGAGGCAGACAATGACCATGTGTCTGCCTGTCCACGTACAGCCCCAGCTCCTTAGCACCTGCCTGGCATGTCATGGGTCCTCAGTAGCTGCTAATTCATTCCTTTTGCAAAGGTTTTTGACTGTCTCCCATTGCCAGACACTGGCTAGGGTCTAGGAATGCCGTGGGGAACAGGCCAGCAGGGTCCCCGCAGCCATGGAGGTTGTAGCTTGCTCTCTGAGTGCACAGACAGGCCAGGGCGGGTGGGGGGCTGGGACAGAAGAACAGACCACAGATATCACCGGGAAAATAGAAGGCAGTGTGTGCCACAAGGTAATGAAACGATGCGATGTGATGGGGGTAACGGCAGGGTCACTGCGTTGCATGGTCTGGGGACAGGAGATGACCTGTCAGCCGAGAGCCGGCTGAAGGATGTAGTCTGGGGGAAGGTCGTTCTCAGGAGCAGCAAGTGCAAGTTCCTCAGGCAGGAAGCCCTCGGGTGTGTGAAGGGCTGGCTGCTGGGTGAAGGACAGGAGGCGGGAGTCCCAGAGGACGGGCGTGGCCAGACCACGCAGGCTCAGGGGCCCTGGAGGCTGGGGGAAGGGCTGGGTTTTCTCTTCATAGGCACCTAGAGGAGGGTTTGGAGCAGGGGCGTGGTGTGGCCTCACTGACACTCCGCAGAGGCTGGCTCCCCCCTGAGGGGGCTGTTGCTTGGGTCCAGGAGAAATGGTGATGGAGGAGCCTGGATGCGGCCTGGATGTGGGGTGAGGGAGAGGCAGCCCTGGTCCAGTCTGAGAGGGGTTGGAGGCGGGGTGATGGGACTCGGACGGCTGTGGTTGGGTGGGGCAGGGGTGTCCCGGGTTCTGTGCAATGAACCAGCAGGTGTCACTCCCAGCGCTCCCTCTTGGTCCTCGGGATGCTGGTGAGCTCACCAATGGGCTAATGCAGACCCGGGGGCGCCTGGCGGGGTGAGCAGCAGCTCAAAGGCGCCCCCCCCCCCCCCGAGTGTTTTAGCGGCTGCCATTTCGTAAGGACACAATTTCTGGGACTTTATGAAGGTTCCAATCACTGGGGCTAACCCGATTTTTTTCTGGGTTGTGACAAGTTTGGAGAAAGCAGAAGAGGAGGCCCCTGGAGGCCTATATCGCCGAGGACGGGTGCAGCGGGTGAGGCCACCCCTGGGAACCGGCCTTCTCCTCGGGCGCCAGGCTCCTCGGGAAAGAGTGTGAACCCCACAGCTCCATCTTTGCCCAGAGCGAGCCCTGAGGAGGGGCTGTGGGCGTCAAACATGGGCCATGTCACTTGGAATAACTCTTGCTTCGTGGGCTGTGTCAGTACTGAGTTGGTCCTTAATGTCACCATGGATTGGGGTACTGCGGTATCAGATGTTCATCATTTGAGGGAGGCAGGACTTCTGTCCTGTCATCTTTGAGTCACTTTCCTGGTCTGCGAGTAGGAGGACCTGGAGGCCGGGCCTGGCTCTGGCTCTGGCTCTGACTAGCTGTGTGCTGGTCACTCACGCTCTCTGAGCTTCCGTGTTCTTGTCTGCACATGAGCGATGAGGTTCCATCCTCCAAAGGTGGCTGTGAGTGCAAAAAGTGCATGTGAAGGCCTAGCCCAGCTCCCGGTACATCCCCACCCTCTTGCCAGCACAACCTTTGCTTGAATGGACCT